GAAATGGTTTTAATTTATTATTCTCGTAACATGTTCCATTTCTTCTAATTTTCATTATAAATTTGTATTTTCGCCATTCCAGAATCAGCAGAATAATAATTCACGACTCAAGTAATTTAAAAAAAAAGTATCTACTAAATTTAATTAATTCAATATAATATCAGAATTATTGTCATCTATCTACAATAAAATGAGAATAAAATGCAAATATCTTTTATTAACATAAGTACTAACGTACCGCCATCTATTTAGTACCTAATAAATTTATTTTTAAATTGTGATAGGTTTCTTTAACTATTTTTATTATTTCTCATTGAGAGTCATTGATATATTTATTTGAAGAAATTATGTTTTTACCACGCATGCATCATAATCAACGATTATCGCACGCTGCAGCGTGCATAAAATGATGTTTATGAAGCGCCTACTTTTTCAAAGGTTTGCTATTGAGACGTTTGATCTACCTTCATTATCTAGATATTTACCTGCCCTTAAAATTACTATTTTCTTGCTTTCAGCAAGTAAATATATTTCTGTCTTTCTCTAGCTTCTGATTCTGAAATGATTATTTTTAACTTGGTGACCCAATTAATTAGTGGTTTAGTGTTTCTAACATAACCTTAAATTTAAATCATTATAATTTGTGAACAATTAAAATGATTCTGTGTGTTTTTATCTATTCTGTTTTAATCAGCATGGTGTTTCATTAATGAAGTGAGCACGGTCTATTTTGTGTGTTGAGTGTTGTCTTCTGATTTGTTCGATGGTCACTACGCAGTTAAGTATAAAAAAACACAAGACAGGTTTCCTACAGGGATTTTGGTTCTGAAAAGGTCTTTTTTCTGGTAGCGGCTAAACAGGCAAGTCGATTTTCATTTTTGTAATTTTTTCTTTCAGATTTCTAGATTTTCCCTCAATATTTTTTGTTTTATTTCACCATCAGTCTCTACTATCACTGTTGGGTTTTTATTACCTGATAAATATTACCTTATCTATCTCTAAAATGTAAATATTATATTTTAATTTTTTATCTATTGTGAGCCTCCATTTTGTGATTGGGTGCCACGTTTATCTGAAGAGAGCCAATTCAGAGTTTTGTCTAATAAATAGGTATTGCTGCTCTGGTCTTCGGAATCAATTGTAGGTGTGGGATTATTGGACTATTTGCTCTGAATAGAGTCGGTGAAAACCAAATTTGTGTGTCCATCCCTATCAACACTTTGCCGAATCCCGGCAGATACCTGTATAGCCATTAATTGTTTGACTCCCTCATTATCCTCTCGAGCAAGAAGAGTGCTGAAAGGGTGATTAAGGATAGAAATCCGGTTAGGTTAAAGTTCATTTAAAGAGTTTCAATTAAAACATCTCAAGAATTTTGACAGTTCCTTGGATTTATTTTATTTCACCCTCAGCTTTATCTTGTAGTACCAATAGTAGGTACCTACCTCAACTTAAAAGGAAAATTTATACATTTGGGAAAAATCTAGAGATTTATTTTATTATCTTACTCAATTTTTTCTACATATTTTTATTTTTACTTGTTCAGCGCTGCTGCACGAGAAGCAGCATCCTGCTCAATGTTAACGAGCATCTATCTTTATTCTTGCTGAATACTTACCTAATTATTGCTACTTTATTTTACATGTTTTATTTTATTTATTTTTTTGAATTATTTAATTGTTCTTTTTTCATAAAAATTATTTCCAATTTGCAATAGTTGCTCATACTTGATTCTGTTGGAAAGGAGTGTCTGCACAACAATAGTTTTACAATAAACTAATTTCATATTAATTTTTTTTCTTTGCAAAACACTCGCTTTTTAACAGAATTCAGAAATTTAATATTCCAAACCTTGGTGAACCTGATACTGTTATATTCTTTTCTGAATACCTATTCCACATGAAAGATCACTATTTGGAGTCTGGCTGGAGTGATGTCACACCAGCAATCTATCCTCTTTCCTGGATAAGTATAAGAAACAACCCGAAAAGCTCCAGTTCACGGAATTGAAACCCCAACATCCATTAAAGAGCTCCGGATTGGAAAGGTACAAAAACGTATCAGTGTCACCAGAACAAACAAACTATTAACTATCATGGATGATTATCTGGCTGCAATATGTCAATTCAGGATTTTTTTTCTATACGCTGAAGCTAGTATAAGTCTATGCACCAACTCCCAAGTATGATGAAGACGAAAGAAGTAGACAATTTCTATGACGACATATCTGTAGCACTGGATGAGTATAAAACACATTGTTCGATTGTGAGCAGTTATTTCAACGCTAGAATTGCACAAAAAACAGAACCATCAAAAATTTTATTGGGAAATTATGGCACCTCCGGTAGAAATGAAGGTGGTGAAAGATTTCTTAGCTTTCAATTATTGAAAAGGAACCTGTACCAAATGAACAGTTTTTTTCCAGGAAGCTACATAAACGTTCGATGTTTCAAAGTCCAGATAGTACAACTTGAAGTAAAATAAATTCCCTACGTCTAGTGTTCACTGATTGATAAGAGCGATTATTGAAATATCTTTGAGTACACACTAAATGATTTTGAGGGAGAAAAAAACCAAGAACACAACCACAAGATGTCAATAAATTTCAAAAATACATATCCGACTCACTGAAGTTCAAACCTCCCACAGAAGATATAAATGCCATCAACAGTTGATTAATTGAAACAGTCACAGATGCCCAAGGAAAATACTGCTAGAAGAAACAAAAAATAAGTCCTGAAACACAATTGAGCAAAGAAGAAAATTGGGAGAAGAGAACAGAATCCTACGAAAACTAAACAGCATGAAGAAAGAAAATTCGAAGAAATAAAAAAAGACCTAAAAAAGCACAAAATCGAACAAATACAAACTATGGAAAACAACAGGGGCATGAAGATATTAAGACAAACATTTTCAACTGAAAGAGAACATATTTTCAAATTGAAAGACAAAAATGGAAAAATTGTTACGCGCCAAAATTGCCTTCAACTATTTCACACTTATTTTCAGTTTTCCATTCGAAATTCCTTTATACAGGGTGTCCCACTAAGGTCGTCCAGGTACGATATTATGGCAACCATAGACCGTACGTAACTTGAAAACGCATGCAGATATTGAATTGCGGCTTGCGTCAAAATGTAGATATTTTTTTTGCTCTTTAAGCACTGCAATGAAAAAATAATATCATGCCATTTGGATTTTTCAAGAAAATTATGAAAAACTGGATCTTGGTTAAACAGCGCCCTTCAGAAGACGCGGTGGAAACTATCGACCCCGAATGAAGTAGTGTTCATAATACCAATTAAATTCTCTTTCGAATGAGCCTAAATCGAATGAGTTTGGATAAGGGGTATGGAAGATACAGCAATTTTTGAAACTATTTTTTCACCAGCTTCCCCCATCCTTATTAGTGAAGATTCGAAAAAAACCTAAGAGCCAAACTAGCGCAAAAATTAATGAAATTTTGATTTCTGTTGTTAAAACAGTATCTTAATATAGCGATTTCTTGAGAAAATTTGAATTTTTAGCTCCCCCTAGCGGTCATCTTGGAAACTCGAAAATAATTATCATCAATTCCTCTTGGCCGATTTAGTGAAGACTCTGACTATAATGGTGTGTGCAATTTTTGGTACTTTAATTTTACCGATTAATTTTTGACATTTGTCGTTATTTTGCCTCATCTCTATACTTCAAATCTAGGACAGCTAATTAATTCCCTGTGATGCTTCTTTCTTTCACGTTTGGTGGTTCTGAGAAAAACGGTCTCTCTTGAAGAATTTAATTTTTGTCTTCGCTCTAAAGGGGATTTTGGACCTAATTTTCTCACTTATTGAATTTATGGTACATTGAGTTGCCTTACGTTGCGTTACGTTTTCGTAAAGTGCCCTAATTTCGCCGATGAGTTCGGATTTTTAGAACCATCGGTAAGTTTTGCTTTACACGTTTTTTCCCAGAGTGGATTCTGACCTTCTCTATATAATAATTAGTGGAAAGCTGCCCTAAGGAGTAGAGTAAAGACCACCTCACTCACTCCAGGATTTCGAAGCCAGACCTCGATCCAGACTAATCCTAAGTATTTTCGAGGCAAATAAAACCCATTCCAACAGGTGAGACATAACCTAGTAACGACAGATTTTCTTGGCAGACTCTAACCATATTTTCTTTTCTTTCAAATCTATCTAATTCTGCTTTTTATACACAAATTATTTAAATATTTTTCAAGAGCTATTGTTTTACCTAGTAAATTAACTATCAATGATTGACTAAGTTGCATTAAAGTTACCTACATCCATTTTCTTGTGGTTTATTTCAATGTGCCTGGCCTTCGCTAAGGTTAAGTTACAAATACAGAGTGCTATAACAGTTTTTCTTTAGGGTTGTTACTTACGGCCACAAATTTGAGCATACGGCCAGCCTTTTTCAACTAAAGGCTACACATTTAAGTGTACAGCAACCTCCATCGGAGCCTAAACAGTTGTAAAGCTACTACCTCTATCAGACCCTTTTTGAACTGTTTTACCTTTGTTTTGTTGAACCTTACGACTGGTTTCACCATATCAGCTACAACCTGTAACCAGGACCAACCAAGTTAATGGAATATGCTGCCATCACTTGGAATATATTGGTATCGTACTAGCTTTAGTTTAAGAACCTATTGTTGTAAATTTAACTTAGGTATTTCTTTGTATTATTTACTCAATTAAATGAACTCTATAGCACTTGAATTAATTGAGTTTTATTTGGTTTTATGCACTCAGTCCAATAATTCACAGATAAAATCCTGGAGAGTCCGACTCATCTGTCCCGAGTCGGTGGCGTCCAAAGAATAACCCACCCCTACTCTCCGAATTGTTTAATTCTGAGCGAGGGCTTAATTTGCACGTACTGTGACTTTCAGTTCTGCAGTTTTGATAATTTATTTATTTTCACTTTAAATTGTTCAACACGGATAAAGCGTGGCAAAATCATATCAAACAAAGAAAAAAATATAGTCCAACAAAATGAAGACCTGCATACAAACCAACATCAAGTTGCGAAAAACCAAGAAGGCATTACCACCTATACCGCAGCAAAAGTAACCGTTTCCAATTTCACTATGACACTAAGTCACAGTACTAGAATACTCATGTAAAATGTTGAAATGGGAGAACAAAGGAATCAGCATTGACGGAGAATACTTAACCCCCGTTTTGCGGATGACGTATTATTGATAACGGATGGAAGCCGAAGACATATGCTGCAAGAACTTGTGACCGTAACGGAAAAAATTGGTTTTAAAATAAATAATTCCAAAACGAAAATGATGACAAATCTAGTACCCAGTGGAAACCAAGGTCAGGGGAACAGAAATTGGAATTGGTGATACGTATATATATCTGGGACACAAACTAAAGCTCAATAGAGACAACTAGATATTTTAATTGCAAAGAAGAATCTCCCTGGGCTGAATGGCAATACCACAAAATGGAAATACATTGAGAACTATGTCCAACACTGGTAGCGATTAGAGGCTAACTGATGAATGGGATAGTTCTGTTCCATCTCTTATTGGTTGATCCTTATGTAAGCTTTAAGATGAGAACAACTTCCCCCATCTTCATGGTTGAAAAAAGTATTATTTTTTTTTTTTTAATTTTCACTAATTTACTCACACTAATAACATGATTCGCTTCACTTAATTAGTGAAAACTTGTAACGGGCCAAAATTGCATAAACATTTCTTACCTACTTTCAATTTTATATTCAAGATTTCCTTAAGTTTTTCAACATTTTCTCTCAATTTCAATTGTCGTCAGATTTCCTAATTTTCCATAGTCAAATTCTATTTGCTGTGATAGTTAGTTTCCTCATTTAAATCCATATTTTAATTCAATTCTAAATCAAAACAAAGCAATGTTTTGATTACTATTTTAAATTCGATCATCTGTTTCATCCAAAAAATAATTAATTCATCTGTCAAAAGTATGTCGTGTTCCGTAATCGTGATGTACCGAGCTACTCCGTTCATACTAACTGTTCCGGTTGTGGAGCGCTATTGATCTCGGCGCAAATTCTAGCGTACCCCAGGTTGCGCATTGGTTCGATGTTCTTTGAGACATCTGGAACGCACCCTTTGATTTCGTTTCTTTGACTTTTGATTGTCAAAAATTTCTGTCAACCAGCGGTGGAGTAGTGATGTTTTCAGTATCGTCGATTCTTCCTTGAGCTCTCTAATTTTGAAAACGGAACACTTACTATATTTTGTATTCTTCAAGTTTTGATTGTTTTATGGGATAATTATTGGTTGTTGATATCATTATTCATCAGCCGTTGTTATTTTTCTCAGTTTATATTGTTGTGTGCAATTTTTGGTAAGTGGCAATTCTGTCGATTGGTTGTTGTTGTTTGTCGTTGTTCTCGATCATCTCTAAGTCTGAATTCCTTCCTTTGGGTTAGGTTAGTTTATTAATTGAATGTGGAGCACATTTTCTTTCACATCTGGACGTTGGAGAATTAGGGTCTTTATGAAGATTGCCTTCGCCCTTTTTGGGATTTCGACCCTAAATTCTCATTTGAAGTTATAACATTTTAGTTGCCTTCATGCCTTACGTTTTCGTAGTGTTATAATTTTCGCCGATTTATTCGGATTTTTACAACTCCATGTGTGGTAAGCTGCTTACACGTTTTTTTCCTATAGTAGATTCTGACTTTTTCAATTTAATTTAGTTGAAAGCTCACTCTCTCTAGGAAATCCAATCCTCGATCCAGATTTCCGGAGATTTTCGAGGCCGACACCCTAATTCCATCAGGTAAAAAAAACATAACCTTATAACAATTTTTGCAAACTCAAGACACATTTTTCTTGATCAATATCAAAGCTTTATTATGATTCAATCTGATTTAATTAATTAATACCTTAATGCTCAATTTTTCTATTAAAATAATTTTCAAGAGCTATAGTCTTTTATCAAGTAAATTTGCTATTAGAAACTGATCATTATAGTTTCATTTTTTTTTCTTATTGATTCAATTTATTCATGAAGTGCTTCGCTATTGGTTCAATTGCAAATGCAGTGTGTATAACAGTTTTTCTCTTAGGGTTCTTTCACGACGGTTGTTCTTTCACGAGGGTTGTTCTTTCACGAGGTTTTTTCTTGGAGGTTGTACTTCACCATCAAGTATACCCTCACGGTTATAGCAATAGACGTTCAATTGTAACCGAAATTGAACCAAAAGGCTAACAGACACCAGCCTAAGTAATCGGACGGTTACTCAAGTCATCGATCATGTTAACCACAACCAGTAGCCAAGACTAATCTGGTGAATTGAATGAACCACCATCATCTGGAAAATTTTGGTATCGTACTAGTTTTAGTTATCCTAATTGTTATTGTTTGTTTACATTCTGTCCCTATTTGTACACCCGGTGATCACCTCGGTATTTCAGGGAATAATTCATTGCTGGCCCCAGTGTGGTAAATGAATTATTAAAATAGGTAACTTAACTAGACGTAACCTGTTGAATTAATGTCAACTTACTGGTAGTTCTGGTTACGTAAGTGTAAAATAACCGCTCCAACTTATTAGTCATTAATTTATTGTTTTTTTTGTTTTATTTTTCTCTTCAATTTATATTTGCAACTTTTCTATTTATACCTTTTTTTTTTTTTATTATTCATTTGGGTTATTGAGTTTCAATAACATATTTTTGCATTTAAATTTAATTGTTCTTGACTATAGCAATTATTTAAAAACGTATAGCATTTCTGTATCTGTTGGTTGACACTTCATGACAAGGTCATTTTATTAATTGCTAATTTACTTGATTATTATTATTTTTTTTTTCTCTTAAATTCAAATTACTGTTCATTGTGGTCTGCGGCCATTTGGTGAATAAATAACTGTAGCACTTGATTTCTTGACTTTTATTTGGTTTTATGCACACAGCCTGGTTTTGCTAATATTTTTCTTTTTATTAATCATTATTTGAATTGTAAGGACCTGAAGCCAGATACCATCCTGGAGAGTCCGACTCATCTGTTCAGAGTCGGTGGCGCCCAAACTAAAACCCACCCCTACTCTCCGAATTGTTTAGTTCTGAGCTAGGGCATAATTTGCACGCACTTCGACCTTCAGTCTTACAATCTCAAGTTCTTTATTCATTTTTTTTTTTTTTTAAATTCTCATTATTTTTATTCTATTTTTTTTTTTTAATTTTTTTTTATAAACTTTTCTTAATCAGCGAAAAAGCGTGGCAAACTAAGTAAAACATTTTTTTTTTTTAATTACTTTTTCTAACCATGGATAAATTCAGTTTTCACCAAATATCAATCAACTCAATTTTCCTCATCTTCTTATAGTAGGTAATAATAATACGATACCATATAGTAATGAGTCCGTGTGTAGGATGCAGCCAATGCTAGGCTTGTAAAGATAATAAATTCTTTTTTAAAGTATTTACTTTTTCTTTCACAGAAATCTTCCATCTATTTTATATTGTCCTCATTGAGGTTGGATGTTCTTGCTGTTGACTGTGCAACCCAAAATGTCGACTAACACCTCTAAAAAGCTGCACTTTCTTGATTTGAGTGTCAACTTCGCTGCACGTAGTCTTCGGAACACTTTTCTTTATATAACTTAGTAATTTTCTGGTGTGTCTAAGGATAAGATAATGTCATCTACAAATATTAGTCTCCCAGAATAACCTGTCTGCCAATCCCTGGAAGATGGCTGGTGTTATAAAGTCCAAAGCATGGGACGTTAAATTCGTGAGAGAAATGTGATTAATACACGAATGCCGTGTATACTTTTGATTCTTCTGGTCATGGACTTGTCATATCCAATAACATATTCAGGGTGCTGACGTAGCTAGGTACATTTTCCAAATATGTGAGGATGACATCAATTTAAGGTAGAGGGTAATTTGACTTCCTTGTTCTCGTGCTGATTTTCCTATAGGTACTTTACGCACAACCTCGTGAAACTATCTTTTCTAGTGATGCCGCGAGACTCGAGACTGGTCTCGTCGCGTCTCGTCTCGTCTCGACTTTTCGAGACGAGACTGGCTTTTGGTCTCGTCTCGTGAAGTCTCGACGAGACGAGACCAGACTCGGCGAGAGTCTCGTGTAGTCTCGAGTGTCGAGATTACACTTACATTTTTTCTTTCATAGCTGTATTATTGGACTATTCTGCTGCCGGATTCTATTTTACGAGTCGAGTCGAAATTCGTATCGAATTGTCAAAATAGCGATTCTACTTTCCGATTTATCAATACCTATTACATGGTAAGTCCGGAGCTGTCGTATTCGATATCGAGACAATTCGACTCGACTCGTAAAATAGAATCCGGGGGCTGGGCTATTGAATATGAAATCAGTAAATTAGATATCAGGGTTACTCTTTACTGTGATTTTTCACTAATTGCTTTTCCACTGTGGCAGTTTGGACTTCCGTTATAATAAAAAAACAAAAACCATAAATACAGGGTGTCCGAAAAATAGCGTATAAACTCTCTATATAGTAGAGGACCCTTTGAGAAACTCTAGAAAAATAATTAAATTAAAAAAATCCTTTTTCAGCATTATTCTTGGTAATATGAAGAGGTAGATGTGAAAATTCACCTTCGAATTCTTCTGGTAGTTATATGGGTATTTAATTTAATTCTCTGACATATTGTCAAGGGGATATTTTCAGTGTTGCCAATTTTAATAAATATTAAAATGCAAATAACTTTCTTAAGAATGCCACTAGATTTTTTAAAGTATTTTTCTGGGGTTCCTTGTGGGGTCCTTCACCACGTTGAGAAGAGTTTTTACGCTATTTTTTGAACACCCTGTATAACTCGAGACCAGACGAGACCACTCGAGACGAGACGAGACGAGACTTTGGTACTCGAGACCGAGACTAAATCACGGTCTCGTCTCGAGATGTCGAGACGAGACGAGACCAATCCTAAGTCTCGTCTAGTCTCGTCTCGCAGCACCACTAATCTTTTCATTGTAGGTAATACCAGGCTTGCCCAGGGCGAGTAGCAAGGTCTTATGAAAGACCCTAAATAAATACGTATAAAGTACGGAATATAGGAGCTTTTCGATA